ACAGGCGAAGCCACCTGCAGATTCGAGCGCGAGAGTACTGTCGTCATAAACACGAGGTAACCTTGATAGATAAACCATCGGCGCTCCCACATCGATACGAAAGAAGACCCTTATGCTCGTCATTAAGGTTAATGTATCGCCGAATGTCATGTTTTCAGTAACGCATTCAAGGAGGTCATTGATCGATCAAGTATTTATCAAGCAAAATTATGTCCCTATACATTTCATTATCTAAATAATAATTTCAAACGAAGTTGATATATAAGTGCTCAATGTATTTCGAGTATAAGTTATGAACTTTATACCGCAGTATTTTCGAAACAAAACGGTTGATAATTCCGAAATGTCTCTATATCAGTCCTTAATATCACATTAGTTTGTCATTAAAATCCTAAAGTGGTTTAGAAGAAATTAAAAATAGAAATTAAAAATAGAACCTTAAGGAATGGCATAAAAATGTCATCTTTAATTGCGAATATTTCGAATGGTCAATCTAATTGTCAATAATTGATTCATATTTAATCATAGCGCAATTTTCAATCAATTCTTAAAAAAACTCATTTTGTGTTATTACTACTTGAAATAAAAAAGGAAGAAGGCTGGCGGCATGAGAAACGGCGAGGAGCACGTGTAAGGATATTTTCGAATGAAGCAAACGGTACGCACGCGAATAAGAAAGCGCGTGTGTAATTTCACGTTAACAAATAAGCAGTCTTAATCAGTGAGCGAGTCGCGACGGTCACCTTATATCGGAAGCGTCGCGATGGAAGTTGCCAATTTGTAAAACAAATCGTCATTTTATTACCGTTCTCGGCCGACACTGGGGAAAATTATGCAAGATTAATTCGCGTCGTTCTCGGACTGGCGACTCAGAAATAAAATAGAAGCGGGCGAAACTTAATCATTGGCTGTAATTATTCGAGGAAAGATAATCCGGGCTTGAAAAAGAAAGCATCCGGTCGGGCGTTGTTAACTCTGACATGTTAGGTTTACATGCATTTTCTTTCCTTTACCCCCTCTTCCACATTTTGAGCAAAACATTATACTCCAATTCCTCTAATATTCAGAAAAAAGTTTGATCCATAATACCGTCGGTCTAATCCAACGAGATAATTGATTTCCTGGAAACAACAAAGAACAAAATAAATAAAAAAAGACTTGAAAAAAAATGCGAAAAAAATTGCGACTTTTATCAGCTTTCTCGTGATATAAGCCTGAAAAGATCTATGATGTCATTTCAAGGCATTACTCTCAGATTAAACCTCGATGGGAGAATCGGCCGGTATTTACGCGAAACATCGGTCGAATTGAATTTGTCGAAATCGCAACGGCAATTTCTTCGATAAGCAAAAGGGAAGACATTAAGCGGCGTTAACGAGGCAGCTCGCGCTCGGCCGGACCGAACAATAAAAGACGCAACTTTCCGGCCGCGATAAATCACGATAAAGGCGTCCGCGTAATTACGCGGCGTGTCTTCGAGTTAATTTGCGGATTTAAAGCGCGGCGTGCGTCAAGTTTTTACCGTTCCCGCGAGAAATAATAATCTCGCGCGTCGATAAATCACGCGGCGGACTCGGCCGCGCAATTAACCAAATAACTTTTACTTCGGTTCTCCTGCGGTAACGCGCGTCGTACAAAGTGACGTGAGCGAATGTAGAAAGTTACGCCGCGATACATTAACGCGAGATACTTTCCGCCTCCCCCCTCTATCTCCGTCATTGTAATCGATCTGCAAATAAAATACGTACCGACGACGAGATAAGCACAAATGCGAGACTGATACCACGACCGACGTTTGAATGAATTCGTGTCGGACATGCGTTTTCCTCTCTCCTCTCGTTGATAAACGACGGTCGTCGATAAATTGTTCGTGGTAGGAAACGCGAGTCATATTTGTCGGTCATACATCTCGATCAAAAGAAGAAAACAAAATTACACCTTTACCTTATACCGAAGAAGAACAAAGAGAGAAAGAGAAAAGGGCAAGTAACAGCTAATCAATCAAGTTTGCTTAGCGGAGAGCGAGCATAATCGCTGTTATTCGGCTGTAATTGCACGTAAAGGCATGCTTTTCCACTGAGCAATAATTATTCCGCTTAATGGTTTAATGTCGACAGCATTAACATAGTTGAAACTAGTAATTATAGTTGTGATGAATATCAAGCGCATAGAAAATTGCCGATCGGAATTAGCCGATCTGAACGGTGAGTGCACACGACACGGTTCGATGCCGGCGAATTTGGAACGGGAGAAGAATCCGGCGCCTCGCGATGTCTATAGGGATTAGAGGCGAAGTGCACTCTTGAGATAGCGAGAGAGAGAGAGAGAGAGAGAGAGAGGGATATTATTGAGGATCGCTCTCGGAGAATAAAATTCTCAATTGAGTGCTCATTAAGTGTTGCCTATTAAGTGTTGCTCTCGATGTACGTCGCAAATTTTACTACCGAGAATTGCTCTTCGGGAGAATAAAACTCTCCTGACCCTCCCCTGATGCGGCGATGTATGTATGCGGACGAGTTTTACGGAGAGTTTGTTACAACTGGGTAATCAGCTTTTATGAAAGAGCTAAAAAAAGAACGACACAACAATAAAATAATAATAAAGCGCTTCCGGTTTTATCCCCGCGTTAATTAATCTCGCGAGTTCTGTTTTGTCACTCCGCGAAAGAGCAAGACGTTATTGCGTAGTCTTTTTAATCGATGATTGATGATGATGATCTTTCGAAGACTCTGACTTTTCGAACGTTCGTCCCGAAGTTAAAAAATTATTAACAAAGGATGTATATATAACATTTTTTTTAACGCGAATAAAAAATATGCGAAGTTATCACGTCAAAGCAACCGTTGCGACACTCTCAAGGCCGCGATTCGTTGCGATGCAAATTTATGTCAATAGCGAAAAATAAGCATTCACCTGGCGGGCAATTTACAATATTTCTTATCAACGAGCTCTTGCGAATGACTTATTTTCTCTCTTCGTTTCTCTTCCCAGGAAATGTCCGGAATGTATATTCGCGTAATCTTCGACTCGCGTCGAACTCTTTACCCTCGCNGGGGGGGGGGGGGGGCGGCAAGAGTCCTTTTGAACTTTTCAATCGCTTCTTACTTCGGAATTTTCATCCGATATATACGTCGCGCGTTTGCCCCGCGAAAGATCAACCTTCAGAGATTTATTATTTTTCATTATAGATATATATATATATCTCGCTGTGGTTTTACCACACATATACTATACATACAGGAGGTAATTCACATATGTATAGAAGAGAATCCCCAGAGATTTACGATAGATTAACACAAGACATATAAGGTCCACTTTTTTATATTTTAAATAAACCTCACAAATTACACTCTCCCCGATGATATATGATTTTACACTATCCCAGCAAGTGTTCCAACAATTTTCCCAAGTTCCACCGGAAATCTTTTTTCTCCCCGGCCACGAAAAAAGGAACAATATGCGGAGTTAAGCCTTTGATGATATAAGGGTTTATCTCGCAAAGAGAGAACGAGAGACAGATGGGAAGAAAGTTTATACAGAGTGTCCCAAACTAATCTCGACTATTACGAATTTTACAAAATGGTACATGACTCTCCGTTTTACTTGCACGGGAACCGGGAGATTAGTTTGGGACACCCTGTATAAATATAACTTGCAGCCTCGCGTACACGGCAAACGGATTCGCTGCTCGCTCGCGCGAAGAAAGCTCTCTTCTCGCCGTACGAGTCCGCGAATACCGTTACACGCGCTAGCAAAGAAATAGTCGGTACGCGCATTACGGCGCAAGAAGGTAGAAGAGCGCAAGAAGATGACAACGACGACGATCATATTATCAATCGTCGATATCAGCGTAGGCGCGTTCCAAAGGCCGGTTATATCAACGTCGCTCTAACCGCGAGCGGGCCGTGAGAGAGCGTTCCGACGTAATTCTCCGACTCGAGAAGCATCGGCCCGCAGGAAAATAATGACCGATATTAATCCGTTTGATCCAGCCCGTTTGTTGCGAAATAGGATGTGTACCTCTTTCTTTTTTTTCTTTTCTTTTCTCTCGTTCAGCATACGGCTCAACGAGAGCTCGCGCGCGCGCGTCCGCTTATCTGCGCCAGCGGTTCTCAAGTTATCCCGTATGAGAAAGCAGTAATCCACAAAGTGGAGATTTCTAAATTCCGCTAATTGCAATTGCGTTTCGCGAGTGTCGTATACATCCGCTTTCATCCGGCCGACACGTTTCTCTTGGCAATAACGTCTGGCCTCGAGTGTGTCTTCGAAACGCGTTAGACAAATGAAAGAAGCAGTGTGACGCCTGGTATTCCCGACAGACTGTTCTATTCATCGCGGACAAACGCGACAAAAGCGGGATATCTCGCAAACAATAACAGAAATATTTCCACCAGTGAAAGGCAATAGAGGAGAGAATCGTGTTAAAGGGCACCTTTCTTCCCTTGCCGCGACCTTGCCTTAAGATACCGCAAACGGTATTCGAATTGACCGACCGTTTGTTAGAAAAGAAAAAAAAACCGGTCGTGGTTGATAAATGTTTTAAAGTAAAATTGTGCACAGGGATTCGAGAAATAAAGATAACATTCAGTCTTAGTCAACAAAAGTGAAATTCGAATTTCAACTCAACGATTGTTTCGTAACGTCAGGAAGCGAGAGAGAGAGAGAGAGAGAGAGAGAAAGATCGTTGGAAAATGATGCAATTCCACACGCGAGCGCTATTAATAGAATATCACCTCCCGTTGTACTTATGAATGAGTGCACGATTAATTCGAAACGAGCGGAGATTCACACTAGAATGACGTTGCGAAGCCTAGATTCCGTCAATACTTGGCTGCCATCCGGGAAAAGCGGAAGACGAGCAGCACACGCGTGCAATAACCTCTCTCTCTCTCTCTCATTATTGTTCCGATACTGCAAAGCTAAGAATTTATCACAGGTGGCCAGAGGTCACGGTCTATGGAGGGGAGGAAGCGTGCATTTTTGATCTCATAACTTCTCACCTCGAGTTCCTCGTAGGTGCGGAAGGCGAGCATGGCGAACCCGTCGATAATTTCCTCCTCGAAGAGAGGCTCCTTCTGGTTGGCGGCCGCGAGGGAAGACTTCTTGCGGGGCCTCGGGGGTCGCGGTGGCCTGGGCGGTCTCGAGTGGTGGCCGTCTCGCGGATGACCGGTCTTGGCGAGACCGAGGCCGCCGCCGGCGGGGTCCTCGTCCTCGCCGCTGTCCTCCTCGTCGTTCGGACGCTGCCGCGACTGCTGCGACTGTTGCTGCTGCTTCGCGGTCGCCAGACTCTCCCTTTGCGCCAGCATACGCTGCGCCCGCTCCCGTCGTCGGTTCTTCTGGCTGCTACGTTGCTTCGCTTCGATCTCCATATTCTCACACGGCTACCTCGCACTGAACGAGAAGCCCACACCACGCTCTTTGTATCCTTCTCACTCTGTCGATCGCCTCGGCGTAGGGAGTACGATGGCTACGACGACCGCGCCGGTGTCGTCGTGCATTCTATGGTCGTACCCACCGATCGTCCTGGGACAGAGGGAAGGGAAGAAGAAGGAAAGAAAGGGAGAGAGACGAAGGGCATGGGAGGTAGGGCGGGTAGGTAGAGAAACGGCAGGGAGAGGGCAGAGAGGAGAGTGCCTCGGGATACGCGAGACGTTGCCGTCGGCACGCGTCTATGTGTGCACGCACACGTATGTTCCTTTTCTCCTGCGTTCGCCGCAATCCTCTCGCAACGCGATGCGATATTGCCACAAGAGTACGACGGCACATCGATCGGTGGTCGAGGAAGAGGAGAGTGTCCGTAGCGAGGAGACACGCGAGAAACACGGACAGACGGACAGACACCGAGCACTCACGGGCGAATTAGACGGGCGCACGCTCAACCGTAGAGAGATAGAGGGCGAGCGAAAGCGGTAGACACACTCGCGTCAACGAACGGCACACTATTATCATCCACACTGTACAACAGGCTCCTGGCTACGATCACGCGTGAACAACGGGGCAGCGTAGTGCGCCGGGACCGACCATACGTTTCCTTCCGACAGCAGCGATGGTAGTGGCAGTAGTAATCATCCTATCGCTTCTTCCTTCTTCTAGCAGCGCGAACCGGCGACTCGCCTTCGTCGCGACGTCACGTCGACTCTCGCGCACCGCCTTACGGCCAGCGCGTCGCCGCGCGTAGTCCGTCGCTCTGTCCGTCCGCAGCGCAGCGCGACGCCTATCGTCGTCGTCGCAGCACGGCGGTGCCTCCGCGACCTGCCGCGACCAGATGCACCCTGCTGCACGGAGGAGGAGGGCACGTAGCGCACCGATTGTTTGGAATGGCGGATCGAACGCACGGTTGCCGCATCG